ACAGTAACGAAGTATTTGTACTTCGTTACTTCCCATCTCTGCCCATAAGCTCCTTTATTCATATTACCATAGATGTTTTTTGTTTTAACCTGTAAACAGCACCCTTCAAGTCTGACCAGATTCTCTTGGCTGGAAGTCTGGACTTGGACTGTACCACTCACATTTGTTTCCTCTTCAACCCTCAAGTGTTTTGGTAGCAGTAAGTTTCCGCTGATGTTCTAGTTGGTAAATCTCCGCCTTATTTTCAACTCACAGGCAGGCAGACTGACAGGTTTTACTACAGAATACCCCTGTAGGCAGCACCAACAACCTTTATGACGATTCAGATGAGTTTCCTGCTGCAAAATAAAAAAAAATGTCCCCACAGCATTATGCTGCCATCTTTACGTTTCACTGAGATTAGACCACTCCAGACCAATTTTTAAAACCTCCAAAGTGGGCTATGAAAATAAACACCGAGGGGCACTGCCACTGGAGGACAAGTGAAGGGGTTCAGTTGGGTTTGGTCAGGCTGGAGGAAAGTGACAGTCAATTTAAAATGACTACATTTCAAATGTAGCATCCACAATAAAGAAACTAGAAACTTCTGAACTCAGACCTGTATCAAGCTGAACTGATTTAACAAATGGGAACATTTAACTGCACAACCTACCTGTAGATCCATTCAGACAATATTTAGGCAAAATATTTCAGAATTAAACAAGTTTACATCAAAATGTTTAAAAGAAAATTTGTAATTATAAGAGAAAGAATCCATTTAGACCAATTTTAATCACCGAACTTTTATTGTTTTTCTTTAAAAGGGAGAAAAATCCACATTCTCAGGAAAAGTGTTTTGAGGTGAGGCAGGTCAAAGAGGGAGAGAAAAGGGAAACATGGTAAGAAAGCAGGAGCCTTTGAATACAGCTGCTGGGAGGTTATACAGCATAATCACACAAGCCAATAAGCGTTTTCTACAGCGCCATCAAGAGATCGTTATGTTTTATTTTGAAACAAACATCTGCTTTTTCAGGATGTCTGGTGGAAGGATGTTAACAGCAAAAAGAAGAAGAAAATAAAAGCGGGCATCTTACAGAGTTCTAATTATTTGGCCAGCAGCAATAGTTTTTAAAGTAAGAAACTAATTTTGGATTAAAAACTGGATAAACAATGGCACCCAAAATGGCGTGAAGAGGGGAAAGGGAGGGAGAGGCTAGGGAAATAAAATTGAAATCAACAGGAAGGAGGCAGAAGAAGAGCAGCCATCATGTGAGAGGAAGCCAGGATCACATTGATGTGAGCTCAGGAGACATCTGAAACAGATCAAATTAATCACATTAGATCACCAGCTTCAAGAAAATTGATGCACTGCAAACTCTGTCAAGGAAATGCTCCTTACAACTTGCAGGCCGGGCTCCGTATCTTCGCATGATCTGGTCTTGCGTGAATTTCACAAAAGATTCATATTGTTCTGAAAATAGAGAGAAAGAAGTAAATTTAAGTTTAACACCTCAAAAGTACAAACTTGATTTAAGGTATAGCTAGGGCTGCAACTAGCGATTATTTGGCAAATCGATAATTTTTTTAATAATTAATTATTAATTAATAATCGGATAGCCAAAGATTCTTTAAAGAATTTTTACAAAATTAAACCAGATGAAACTCAAACTGTTCCTATATATATAGAATAATTGGTGTAATTACTGCTTTAACTAAGTAATCGATTACTCAATTGACGATTGTTTCATTAATTGATTCATCAAGATTAATCCGATTGTTTCAGCCCTTGCAATAGCATTCATATGAAAGTAGTTTGTATCCATTATTTTAATAAATCTTTTCATTTATAACAATTAACACAAAAATCTTGTGTTGTATCATTTCATATGGGATTAATAAAGTGTTTTTGGAACTGAATCTGGCTAAAAGTTGCCTTCACCCAAGATGTGATGTTCATAACATCTTTTTCGCACAGAAAAGAAAAAGAAAATTACTATTTAAATACATTTAACAGGCTAGAACTCAATTGAAAAAGTCTCTAAAACCAGCAGCACAAAAAGACTACAGTGCCTTGAAAAATGGTCATGCTACTGGAATCTTATTTTAGCATTACTACCATAAACATTCATGTATGCAATAAATTGTCATCATAGGATCATTGTTAAAATCCAAAGTTAATGCTTAGATCAAGTGCCTTTTGCAGCAAGACCACCAGTAAACCTAAAAGGCTGCATCTCTGTAAGCTTCTGACATTTAGACACAAAGATGTATACCTGCCAAATTG